ATATTTCGGCCGTTGTCGCTGTTGCTGCTTTACTTACTGCTGCCGCCACTGCAGACGCGACCCCTCTGTTAGCTTCAGGATTGGCGTTGCTTACCACATGCAGCTGGCAGCAGCTATGGCTGCAGCAGCAGCAGCACCAGCAGCAGCAAGAAATCTGTTTACTTGGTCTCTGCAGGTGCGGTGTCTGAGGGACTTAGCGGCGATGAGCGGCACGGAGCTGCAGGAGCTCCTTGGGCGGTGAGGCTGCTGCTGCAGCTGTTTGGCGTGCTGTGCTGCTGCTAGTGCTGCTGCTGCGGCTGCGGCTTCATTTGCTGCTGTTGTTGCTGCTGCTGCTGCTGCTGCTGCTGCAGGGAGGAGGGTCGCCATCTGCACGCCTTTTTAAACGCCACGATATCCGTGGAGTCTCTTGACTATGTTTGAAAGCTGCCGCCGAACCAATTGGGGCTGCAGAAGCTGCTGCTGCTGCTGCTGCTGCGGTGCGTAGGCGGGTTCCTTCGCTGCTGCATGCCGCTGCAGCTACAGTAGCTGCCCCTGTGGCGCTGCAGCACTGCAGCCGGGCCTTAACTGCAGCAGCAAATAACTCTTTTTAAGTCTTAATTGTTATTATTCAAAGGCAGTTTTCAAACAAAGACAGTCAGTGGGGCTCCCCGGGCCCTTTTGTAATAGCCTTTGAGGGAATTTGATGAGCCCCTGGGGCCCCCGGGGCCCCTGGGGCCCCCGGGGCCCCTGGGGACCCCTGAATACCCTGGGGGTCCAGGGGCCCCTGGGGCCCCCTGAAACCCTGGGAGCCCCCTGATCTCGTGGGGTCCCCCGGACCCCTGGGGGCCCCTGGTACCCTGGGGGCCCCCGAAGTTCTTTTTAATTACATCTCTTATCTTGTTCTATTCTCATTAAGTCTTTTTCTTATTTTAGCTGCCGAAGTTGGGGGTTTTTGTTGCATCAATTCCAAACCCTAAACCCTAAACCCTAGCCTAGCCTTAGAAGTTCAATTATGCAGCGCTAGCTGAATAGGTGCTGCTGCGCGCTGTTGCTGCCGTTGCTGTTCCTTTTTCTGTTGCTTCTCCTGTCGCTGCTGCTGCTACTGCTGCTGCTGCAGAGTGCGGCGCAGCAAATAGCACTAAGGGGAGAAGCACAAGACCTAAATTAGACTGAAAGATGCATTGCTGCTGCTCTGCAGAATTAGCCTGCAGCAGCAAATGCGGTACAGCAGCTGCAGCAGCGAGTGAAAGTTGTTCTTGATGAGCTGCGAGCTGCTGCCGCTTCTGCTTCTGCTGCTGCTGCTGCTGCAGCAAAAAGAAAAGAGCGAAAGCTCGGTACCACTAAATGCTCTTCACGACTGCATAGCTGCTGCAGCCGCCACAGCTGCACGAGATGTGGGGTCGAAGCAGCAGCAGCAGCAGCAGCAAGGGTGCCGGGAAAGAAAACCATGCAAACGTTGCGAGCCTCCCCAGCCAGTACCTGCACTTCTGCCGGTCTTGCGCTGCTGCTGCTGCTGCCGCTGCTGCTGCTGTTGCTGCTGCTGCGAAGCAGCTTTCAGTCTTTCGGGCGGCCTCGTTGCCGCAAAGCTCTGCTGCAGCAAGGCGTCAGCCCTGCTTCCTCCTGCAGCAGCAGCAACCGCAGGAACAACGACAGCAGCAGCAGCATCACCAACACTCCACCAGTGCAGCAACACCAGCACCACAAAAGCACCACAAAAGCTCCACAGCAGCAGCAACGACAGCCCAACAGCAGTACAACAGCAGCAGCACGGCAGCAACAGCGGCAGCCCAACAGCAGCACAGCAGCGGCACAACAGCAGCACCACAGCAGCAGCAGCAGCAGCGGAGCAGCAGCAACAACACCCCAGCAGCACCCCAGCAGCAGCAGGAAGAACAGCACGCCCCTCCACCCCTGCACCACCGCAGCAGCAGCAGCAGCAGCAGCAGCAGCAAGAACAGCACGCCCCTCCACCCCAGCACCACCACCGCAGCAGCAGCAGCAGCAGCAGCA